GGTGGGAGGGCGGGAGGGTAGAGCTGGTGGCGCAGAAGGGACAGCAAGTGCTCCTAAGCCCTGGGATAGGAGGGACAGGGGTTACTGGAGAACCTGCAGGCAGGCCTGTGTGGCTGGTGTGCAGAGTGAGTGTAGCAGATGAGGCTGGCAAGCTAGATCATGCTGCCTGTCTAGAATTCTGTAAGCCCACTGGAATCCGTGAGTGTAGAAAGGTAGGTAGTTGGCCATTCCTCTAGAAGCCCCTGGCTAATTCTGTGAGCCTATCTTTGGGAAGCACTCTCCAAATCCCAGATATGGAATTTTTATCATCCATCTACAAATGCCCACATTGTACCAAGTATCTAATTACAGTAAGACAAACTCGCCGGGCTGGTCAGTGGAACTACGCAGGCAGGAGTTGTAAATGACACATCTCCACTGTCACACACAGCGGAATCATCTGACCCCAACATGACAATTAAGCAATCAGAAAATATCAGAGCCATCTACTGCCACTGCTGGCCTCCTGTCCCAGTGTCAGAAAGGTAAAACCAGTGGAGCAGGTACAGGAAGGCCTAGCATTCAATAAAACCAACCCCAAGCAGTCACCTGGAAACCTCAAGCCTCTCTCTGAACTTTGTTCCTTTTGCAATTGGTCAAGATGGACCCATTGTCACTGGGAAAATAATGCTCCAGACAAGGTCTCCCTGTGCATTCAGCAGATAATATATAATTTAGATAGCTGTTTTTCATGCAACACCCAAGTGCTTTATAAACCATAATTAAGCTTTGTTCTTACCCAGTAAGAAGGCATATTTTCTCTTTACATCTGAGGAAAGGAGTTAAAAGACAAGTACAATGTTAAATGTCTGGTGGGGGAGGGCTGCTGCAATTACGTTAGGAATCTCATTTACCCGTGAGGCTTCTTGTAACCCTAACCAGAACCACTGCTCGCCCTGAAGTCTAGGTTTTCAATACAATGCTTAATGGAGGCTTCTTCCTTTCCTCCTCCACGATTCCTTCAGAAAACTTACAGACACCGGAGCTCAAGGATCCAGCCAGGAGAATGTCCCTACGTCCAGTTCAGACAGGTATCTCCTAGAGCTAGCTAGTCTGTTACGGAGACACCTTTTTAGTACAAAAACGGTGTGATTCCAAGACTGTACCCCTCCCTGCGGTCTCTACCTGTACTGCCTCAATATCCTTCAAATAGCCCACTGTTAAGACTGCACATATTCATAAAGAAAAGAAACATACCTTTTCTCAAGAAAGTATTTTGGCTTTCCTTCAAATTTATCTAGGATTAAAATCAACCTACTGTGAATAATCCACTAGACATCACCCCCAAACTCCACATTCTAGTCTTCTTTGAATCAAAACAGTTTGTCTAGCCTGTCTGATGGTATTAGTATTATTACTCTGTGAAGATTATTCTAACCCTAAGTAGGTACCAGTGTTTGAGGGGTAGCATGGAGAAGTGGTTAAGAACACAGATGCAGTGGCCAGGCTTCTCAGGCTCCGCTGTTTACTAGCTGGGTGGTGGGCAAGTTTCTTAACTTCTCTAAGCCCTAGTTTACTCACCAATAAAATAGGCATATCAGGGTTGTTATGAGGAAAAATGGGACAATGCATGTAAAAGAGTATGTATCCCACAGGAAACCCTCAATAAATGCTAATTATGATTATTGTTCCCTGGAGGTGTTGCCTATGGAGGGTATGTCCTAAATTTATAAAACAGGCAGGGTCCTGGAGCAGATACCCTGCTCCCACTTTCTAGAATCACCAATAAGTAATATTTGTCCCAGGAAAATCACTGACATTAGGGCATCAGAGAGTACTGTGGTGTGGGGAGGGTTTTTTTGTGTGTGTTTTTAAGACAAAGTTAAGGGCTTGAAATGAGACAAAGGAAAAACAAGTACAGAATTGCAATGTTAACATTTTTATTGAATTGAAATTGCTGTAGAACAACAGGGGCCACCACAGCTGCTAGCTCAGTAAGAACTGACAAGTCCCTGTGACATTTTACCTCCAAGAGTCCTAACATGGTTTGGTTGGAACAACTGAGAAACAGCATAGATATATATAGTTTTTAACACTTCAAAGTATTTTGAAATGAGCCTCACAGCCTTGTTCAGTTTTCAGGTTACAAAGAACATGGATAACATCTTCTGTTGCCTTCACTTAGTAGTGTCAGTTAAATATCCTTTCCCAAAATGTTCCTCTCAAAGTGCTGGTTATAAATTTCCCCCCATCTGGTACATGTAAGAAAAGGGTTTAGTAACACTTGGGCAAGTAATAAACTGTAAGAACTTCGTAAGTAGTAAAGGCGTACACCAAGCACACGTGACAACACTCACACTGCCAGAAAGACAATGAACTGGCTAAAGAGTTTCAGGCAAGTTCCAGAAGCAAAGAATAAAGTAATGCAAGAGGTAAGGCAACCAAGCAATGTTGGAACTAATGGACCATTTGTGGCTGAACCTCATTTCAATATCTTGCTTCCAACATGCAAGTATGCATTTGTTTTACATAATAAAGTGAAATACTTTAAGGGAAAAGAAAACTCCTCTAACAGTTAAAAGATCAATTGGAGATGAAAGAAAATACTGAATTTTTATAATCAATGCATGGAGCAATGATAGAAACTGACCACACCAATTACCTTTGAGAAAGCCAGTCCTGACCATCTACCACTACTTAGAGCTGAAAGTTAACCCTCTAAATTACTCCATGAGAAATAAAACTCAACAAGAAATCCCCACATAAAAACAAAACCACATCTAGTTAATATTCTTTTTGGTTTGTATTAAGTCAGCTGCTCATTCAATCTAGAATTAATTTATGAGTGTTGGTAAAAATCTTCAAGAGTGCTTCAAATTATTTTAGATGAAATGTGATGAAAACACAACAACATAACTCATTCTCTCATCTGGACAATGCTGTTTTACACTTAATATTTCTTTTGAAAAAACTAAATAAATTCTTCAACCAGAGTAACTGATACTAAGTGACCACTCATCCCCACAGCAAATATTTGAGAGTATTTAAAAATCTAGCAGTAGGACATGAATAGGTTTATGCCCATCTTCAAAAAAGATGCAACCTGGGGTAATAACAGAGTCAGAGATTTACAACTGATAGACAGATACACATTTTATAAGGATCTGCCCAAGGTATACAACAAACATCTAAATTAAGGCTTTTAAAGGTTGGTGGTCAAGTTTGTGGGTGTGCAATGCTGGATTTTTGTGGAGCATCTCCACCTTCTATTATTACCCAATTTGTAAACCAGAAGATGCGCTGATGTAGGTGGGTAGGAGCTCCAAGGGCTAACCTAACAATTAACCAACTAGAAGACTTGTCTGTAAACAAGTTCCAAAATAAGAGTTGGCAGTGAAATAATTAAGAGGGTGCCTCACATCTTGCAGAGGGGAAAAGTGATGTGCACCTGCTGATAGAGATGGGCTTAAAAAAAAAAAAAGCCAACAGTTTAACTTCAAGACTTTGAGATTTAGAGACCTAAGGTTTATATCCAAGTCAATGGTTCTCATACTTTAGCTTGCAAAAGCCACCTGGAAGATACTTATGAAAATATGGATGGATACTTGGGCCCTATACCCAGAGATTCAAATTTGGGTGATGTAAGTGGTCCAAGCACCTTGTTTTTGAGAAACACCACTCATAGCAAATAGCAGCACACAATCTTTGATTAAAAGGTGAAGATGTACAAGAAATGACACCAATGAGGTCATTACCTTCAGACAAATCCCTCAGCAGACTCCACTATAATGAGGACCAAATTTACCCTCAATTAAGTTTCCTTTCCTACCTTTTTTCCAACTGAAAGTTTGAAACCAATGAACATTTAATAATGATTGTACCAATTCTGAGGTAAAAGGAAGAGCACCAGGGATCTCAATGCTAAAAGAAATCGAATTGCCTAGGAGGTTCAAGCTACATAGAAATTAAATTTCTGCAGTAATGTTATAGAGTTATAGTGTAGAGGGTATTGTTTTAGTCTTTGTATAGTTTGTATACTTTTACTATATTATCTACTCTTTCCAGTTAATGTTTTAGAAGAACTCCAAGAGAAAGTTCATCTACATGCTCTCTCAGGTTTTCTAGATACTAACATTTTCTGGTTTACAGCCATACACAACAAAGTTATTTATTTATTTTTTTGGATGCTGGACACAAACATCTTTATTAAAGATACTACCAAAATTTTGGCAAACATTTCAAAACAGATTTGTAAACATAATGCTTCCCTTTTTAACTGGCAGCACTTTGAAAAGACAATACGGTAAGACAACACAACTTGAATCAACATTAGTTCAAAATCCTTACATTTTTGACATAACTTATGTTCCCACATGATAAAACAAGTGATAGTTTAAATCAACGTCAACAGATAAACTCCATGAAATGAAAGTTTGTGCTGTTTGATGAATCACAGTATGCTATGGTTAAATATATCCGCTCTTTTTTATATTCCTGGCACCCAGGATGAAGAAAAAAATCTTTAAATATACATTTCATGTAGGTAATAACTTCTTTGCACATCTCTCTTCAAAAAATACTTTATAGCAGTATATAAATAGGTTACCTACATATTTAATTTTATAATTTTGCCCCAAAACTATAGATTTGTTTCATTTTCATAACATATCAATTTTGCCCAACGACAAAGCTGACAAACTGTTGAAATGGAAATGCTTTTGTCTTTCACAAAAGAAGTAGCAATTTGACAGAAAAAAACACACAAAAACCTACAGTAACACTCGTCAGTTGTTTAACCTGAGCGTTTGGCCTACTGAGAGTAGCAGCTTTTTTTCCTTCATGCACGCTCACACCCATACCACCTCTGCACACACACAGGTCGCGCACACGCTTTCAGACGCTGGTAGGCCACAGTGTGCTTCCCATTGCTCCAATCAAATGGGAAGCAGTGTAGCTAATGATTAACCACACTATGTACACAACTAGCAAACACCTTAAGGCAACCATTGCAATGGGGGGTTAACTTGCAGGGCGCTTTACTGCTCTAGATCAAATCAGCTTGTATATACATATGTGTATGTGTAGCTACACACACATACATACTCACAGACCTATTTCTTAACCCTCCAAAACAATGTTTTAATTTTTTTTTGTATTTTGTGCAAATTTCTAAATATTCTACCATTTAAGGCAAAGAGTTTGCATTAAGAAAAGTCAGAAAATAGGCTTATGTTTGTCCAAAAGCATTTCACCTTGCACATTACTGTTTGTTTGTTTTTAACACACATAAATTTGAGTGTGGACACTGGGTCCCCAATATCTAAAAAAATCATTTCTAATTACAAATAAGTTTTAAGAAAACAACTGATTTAAAGTATAGATACTGGATCCCCAATATCTAAACAAAAATTACTTCTATTGACAAACACAAGTCTCGAGGAGGAGAAAAGGACGAGAAAAAGCAGCTTCAAAAATGCAGGAAAGAAAAATGGGAGGGGAAAAAAGTAACTCAAGTTTATAAATACTGAAACTTTCAACAGGCAAAGTTTCATTTTTTTAGAATCTTAGAGCAACTCATTTGGAATTTTAAATAAATAAGTTTAAGTTTATTCACATCTTCTGGTTCAAGAGGAGCTCTAGTGCCATGACTCTGCTTGCTGTTGGTCAAATTCACCTATCAGTCTTTTGATATGAGCCAGCTTGTTATGAAGATACTCGCATCTGTATTTTTCTTCATGGTAATTGGGACTGGACTGTGGAAGAAAAACAGCGAGGAATCAGGTTACAGAATTTGTAATTACTTCCCAACTTCATGTCAAAAACCAACAGTGATGCTACCTACCTGCTTGATCTTCTGATATTCTTGTAAGACTTCTTCATGAACATTCTACAAAATTAAAAATTAGAAATCAGAAGAGAACTTTTTTTGTTTGCAATATAAACAATTAACAAACATTTGACAAGGGTGTGGGGAAATACTGATGATAGAAATGTAAATTGGTACAATCTTTCAGGGAGGCAATTTGGCAACTGCTATCAGTATAGCAAATGCAAAACTGACTTGGCACTTACACTTTTGTTTCAGATTTACTTGTACCTGAGTGAAATGACGTGTGGAGAAGGTTACTCACTGCAGCACTGTTTGTAAAGCAAGACAGTAAACAAAATCTAAGTGTCCATTAATCTCTTAAAAGGAACACTAAGGAGAGCATTAACAAAGGGGAAGTGTTTATGTACTTACATTAAAAAAGTTTCTAAGATGTGGTATCTTGTTCAGTGAAAAAGTAAAATACAGAACAATTTATACAGTTTGATATCATTTGTTTAAAAGAAGGAAACAGAATATTATATTCTAAGAATTTCATTATTTCTATGATGCATATTTCTTCTCGTGTTAATGAAATCAGATAAATAATAATGTATCATAGTTTAACTTACGGGGACATACCACAATAAAGAGTACATGTTATAATTAGACATCTTAGATTTAATTATATATGGTATATATGGGAATTTGCTTGTGTATATACATATTACGCACACACACGCCTCTAAAAGAATACACTGGAAACCAGCACTACTGGTTGCCTCTAGGGAGGAAAACTGGGTGGTTAAGAAAAACAGCTAACCCTTATGTACCACATCATCTGATGTATGATGGATCTAAGCAGGTTCCAAATACTTACATTTATTCTGCACAAGTCCATAATCAACTTATTTTATGGATGGGGATTTTGAGCAAAGTTAAATAACTTGCCCAAGGTCACACAAGTATTAAATGATGGGAGCTGGGAATCAAACCCACGCATTCTGGCTCTGGAGCCTACTCCTAACCACTAAGCAATCCTTGGAATTACACTTTAGTTTGTGGTTTTTTTTTTCCATTGAGCTTAATTATAGATGGTATTTATTATTATAAATGAAATTATTTTTTTAAAGTAAACTTTTTGCTACTTTTCTATTTTTAAATTTTATTTTTGTTTAAAATATTACAGATATCCCTTTTTCTCCCCAATGATCCGTTCCACCCTGTTCCACCCCGTTCCATCCCCCTCCTCAGTCCCTCTCCCCACCATTGTCCGTGTCCTTGGGTTGTGCATATACACATATAAATTCTTTGGTTTACTCTCTCCCCCTCCACCCACCTGCCTTCCTCCATCCCTCTGACATTCATCAGTCTGATTTATGCTTCCATGTCACTGAATCTATTCTGTTCATCAGTTTATTAAGCTCTTTAGATTCCACGTATAAGCGAGATCATGTGATGTTTGTCTTTCTCTGCCTGGCTTATTTCACTTAGCACAATTTTCTCCAGGTCCATCCATACTGTCCCAAAGGGTACGAGATTATTCTTCTTTACAGCTGCGTAGTATTCCATGGTATGGAATTACACTTTAGTTTAAATATAATCATGGTACACTGGTAAATAACTATATAGAAAAAACAACAACCAGAATCCACCATATCACCAACCTCTTGCACCCTCAAACACCAACTCCTCTGGCCTCTGGCAAAATCTTCTATAATAGAAGACAAAATGAATCTCTAGGGCACAGGCACTCCCACTGTGGGAACACACATCCATTCTCTCACTAGGTTCCTGTCAGAACAATGGTAGTGGGCCGGGACGGAGGCACCATCTAAGCCTGTGAAGTGCAACAAAGTTATCTGGCCTGGGCAAGGAAGGAAACAGTCATTTATATTAATCCTTTTGCTAAGAACCATGAGAACAATCAGGTCAGGCTTCTGCTGCTCTTTGTTAGCTGTAGTAATATTACCACTTAAAGTAGGGAAGTGAAAACTGGTTAATACAAATGTCTGTCTCTGGAATAGCTGGAAGCACCATGCTTTTCTTCACTTAAACCCCAAACTACTGTGGTATTAAGATATGTCTATATCTTCCCTATTCTATGCCAGACTGAGGTTATTTTAAAAATTAATTAAAATAGTTCCTTGAAATTGCAGTTTTGGGTAATAGCACCAGATCTAGGAGCTGTAGTCTGAGCTGAGTTGGCAATGCAACAAAATATTTTGATGAATCCTGAATCCAATTTTTTCCCCCTATTTAGTTGTGTTTGATATTTTTCTCAATACACTATACATTATATTATAGTAAATGTATAAGCATATATTACATATTTTATACATATAATGTTAAATAAAAAGGTTATTTTTTCACTGACAGAAATATAGGTTCATTGTGTTTACTTATTTTCAGGAACTATTTCAAATATTTAGTTTCCTAGCTCATTTATGAAAGCTAAAAGCTGCAGAGAAGCTGGTCAGCCAGAAGACTTGCTCTGAAGGCTAACAGGATGCCTGGCGGTCAGGCAGGGCAGAGAAAGAAAAATATGAAAGTCAGTCTATCTAGGAACAAATTCATTTACCTGATACTCTTTTGAGCCTGGAGAAAGGCGCTTTCGTTGCGCGTCCAGTTTGATAAATCTTCTAGCTACAGTCTCCATTCTGGCATGCAAGGCCCTGTATTCATCATACTCTGCGTTGAAATCATCCTTGTAATTCTGGCGTTGCTCATAGGAGACGATAGCAATATATTTTCTGTCAGGAAAAGAGAATGAAAGATAGCCATGCCACCCTCAGAGACCCTCCAGGGGAAGTTATACCACGCATGAGCTTAAGAGCTTCAATGAAGGACAGTAAATATAAAAAAGACATGGTGGCAATGGAATTAAAGCGCAACTATGTAAAAGGAAAACAACACTCACATAGATGTAGCTTCCTAAACCTTTCTCTACCCCAAATAACTCACTACATACTAGCGGCAGAGGCCAGCATCTAGTATGAGTGACATGGAGACAGAACTAGACAAATAACATGAAACCAGGGAAATTTCACAGTCAAGAAGTGCTGAAGCCGAAGCTCCCTCTAGTCCTGCTGCTTCATGAGGGGGTCCGTCCCGAGGCCTTTCACCCGCTGTCATAAAGGTGCCTCAGGCTTATTTCCCTGTATCCCTTTCCTCCCGTTTCTGATTAGGCAAATACATAAAATACAGAAGGGGAATTGTTTCTCATTTTAAAAAATGACATAGTAGAACCTGTGTAACAGCAGGCAGTGTTGTACTATTAATCTAATTTACTTTCTTAATAAAAATGCAACAAGCCTGTTTTGCTTCTGTGTATGAACACTTCTAGGGGCCTGGTGAATGGAGGCCATTTTCCCAGAGTGTCCGTTTACTCAGTGGTAAGTAAATTAAACCAGTATTTTAATATTAAACCAGAGTTAATATTATTTGTTTGTGGATCTGGGGACTGGGATCACATCAGGGTCGGGTCTGGGTCTTTGCACTCTGTGCTTCTGTGGTGGAATGTAAAATTCCCTTGACTTTATTGATTTCAAAGCAATTTCAAGCAGGTGGCCCCATGAGGTATATAATATTCTTCACTGTGGGAAAACCCTGGAGTTCAATCCTCTCCAAAATGGTTTCAGATAACTTCCCAGTTTAATTTAAAATGTGATAGCACAGATACCTAGTTGGAAATGTGAGAAAAGTGATGCAGTGAGCAACCTTAATGTCCTCATTAATATTTTTATTCATGCTAAGTTAGACAGTGTGGAGGTTTAATTTTCTAAGTGTAATCGAGACTGTGGTAGTATATTGTTTTAAAGCTGCCCTGCTGGTGTCTTAGCTGTAAAAGGAACGCCGCCAGCGCAGCAAGGAACCAGTGCTTTCCAGACAGGGACTATCCTCACTGATCAGCAGAGGGAGCACACTAGGGAGACAGTTCTCAGGGACAGCGTATGTGAGGAAATGGCTAAACAGATTGTGAAACTCAGGTTCAATCTGTTACGCAAAATACTCATCCTGCTTTCTCAAAACCACTTCATTTAATAAATTCCTTAGGAAAATTACAAACTGACCAACAATTGTGTTGCTATAGAAGATTGATTATACAGGCATTTTAATGAAAAGCATTTCACTATTTTTTACCAAAAACTATGAGTCCTACAGTTGGCTCTTACTGTAGTGATGGAATAAAATTTTAAACAGTTTGGACAAGTCACAACCAGAAGTAGTGGAAGTATTCTTATTATACAAAAATTAGGAATACTACAGTTAAGTATGAATTATTCAGAAACTGACCACTAAAGTTTTATGGTATGATCTTTCGGTTTCTTATGAAGCAACTTAAGTTTGTTTTATATAGTTTTGGTAATTTTTCTGAAAATTCATATTTTCTCACCATTTTTAGAAAATTCTCTGTATGTATACAAGACTTAATTTTTAGTTAGAATAAATTGCTTTTACTTGAACAAAGTGAGCAAACAATCACATAGGTTATGTATTTTCATAATTTTTAAAGAGCTAAAAACATGACAAATGTACAGAAATGCACTGAGACAGATGCAGCAACCATCCTTATATCAGTAAGTTAAATTTTTTTTAAATATAGAATTAACTGATTAAGTTGACAAAACACAGCCTGAATCCATGGAGAAAGGTGAGAATTATTTTTCAGTCTCCTTACATGACCTGTCATATATAACAAGTATATATCACTAGGACAAAAAAGAGGAACTCAAAATCCATCTTGAGAGAATGAGAGCACAGTGCTAGTTTTTATTTGAGGGGGCAGCAACTTTCCTAGCACTTTTAAGGAGAAATGGGTTTGCAGTTGGAGAGAAGAACCCCATTATCAGTGGAGACAGGTGCTGTCCCCTAACCAACCCTTCCTGGGCCAGCTCAGTGGTGGCTGCTTTTCAAAGCTCCCGCACAGAACTCTAAAACCTCAGATGAAAGAGTACTCAGCATGGCTTCTTGGTTCCTTTTAGTTAAGAGATGATAACCAGCATTATGGTTTCCTGCTGTATCATTCCCCAATAAATATAGCTTTCACACTACCGTTAAGCAAAAGTAACACATTTTAAGTTATAAAATGTTCTCTACTCTGGAAAAGAGCATTTTATAGGATATGGAGGGAGGGCTAATTTTGTCCATCAAGAGATGGTACTAAATAGAGAAAAATGTTCGTACAGCCCAGATTCCATTTTCTATTCTACATTCAAGCTATTTTGCACATTTGTTCATTTTTTAAGCTATCGACAGTCAGACCTGTTTGCTTTTTCACTCTCCATTTTTCCAGGCTCTTGCAACTTAATTATTTCCTTCTTATAGAAGCCTTTGAGTCTGTAAAAAAGCTAGAATTATGTGTCCAAGTTATAATTTCTGTGATAGCCAGTTACAAAAATGTCCCCAGCTCAGCGTTTAGCAACTTGTCTTAACAAAAAAAACATTATAACCTATACTAAAGTGAGATGATCAAATTTTACTATTCTTTCCTCTTAAAATCAATTTGACGGCAGAGCTTCATTTAAATAAAATCAATCTATCTTTACTTTGTATTAACTGAAGAGGTTTAAAGCACTTTATCAGTAACATGTGCAGGGAAGGACTGTGCATTGATAGACTGTCAGCTTTGAAGAGTCCGATCCCTGAAATCTTCCATAATCAAATGCTTGGCCTGGCCCCGGAACAAAGGGCAGGCTTCTCTATACTTAAAGGCCACTGAGCTGAGCTCAGAGCAGGGGGAGGCACAACCTGCTGAAGCCGACAAGGGTGGATTTGGGACGAGCAGGCTTAATGGCAGCCTTTCAATTGCAGGGGTGGCTCCAGGACACTATTTCTGGAACTTCTTACATTTCTGATTTGCAAATTATGGGAAAAGAATTTGCAAACTTTCTAAAATTAAACAGTTCTCTCCCATTGGCAGACATCTGAACTTACATCAAATAATCTGGGAGTTCAATTGTTGAAGAAGGCTCCGTGGAGGCAGTGCAACCCTCTTTGACTCCTACGAAGAAAAAAATTCAAGTGTTCACCAACAGTATGGTTATAAAATGCCTATAATTCTAAAATAGATCAGAAACATCTGGAGCACTTTTCCTCAAATTCTATTCTTCCATCTCAATAAGCAACAATGAGCAAGGAATACAATTGGACACGAACAATAGAGGCCCTATGACCAGCACCGGCAGAATCCACGCCAGGCATTGAAAGCACCCTGGCTGCTGCAGTGTCTGCACAATAAAGGAATTCCATCTTAACCCAAGGTCAATCTTCTATTCTTTCAGCAATAGTTGTGGCATCTGCCCAGCAATTCAAAGACTGTGGTGGCAGATGCAGCCAGACAATAGGAGATAAAATTTTACATCAACATCTTCTTTTCATAGGATTCACACAAGGCAGATGAGACAGTGAAGTTGGGTAGCAGACGGCTTTGGTCACTGTAATTTTACTGCTACCCTTTTTGTAAGCAGACAGTGGAATTGGGTAGGAAGTTTTTCCATCGGTTTAAAGTAATTTAAAATAAGTTATTACTAAAGACTGATTTATATCCTCTAATCTCTAACCCTCATAATAACAGATTTGTTTTTTAAAGGACAAATAAATAAAGTGCTAGTTATTCAGGACTATGCTATGAAAATGTATAAAATTCCTCAGGCTTTCATTTGTTTGAACACACCATTTCCAGAGGGTATGTTCAGACTTTTTACTAGGGTAATTTTTTATCATTCAAAGTAGAATTAAAGTAATAACTCAAACCCTAACCCTGCCTGCTAGCAAAACAAACATGTTCAATATAAAACAAAAGTGAATATTTGATAATTTCTTGGTTTAATATTTTAAAGGACAAAGCATGCTAAACAAATTATGCAAACTCTGTGGACTTATTGTTCATATTCACGTTACATATAAGGATATATACAGTAGTCCCCAATTATCCACAGGCAGTATATTCCAAGACCCCCAATAGATGCCGAAAACCGCTGATAGTACCAAATCTCATATATACTGTTTTTTCCTATACATACACTTTACAGCTTCACTTTGGCATTTCTGAATTGACAGCTTCACTACTCCTGCTCTGTGGGGCCATTATAAGTAAAATAAGGGCTACCTGAACACAAGCCCTATGATACAGAGACAGTCGATCTGATAACCTAGCCAGCTCTAAGTGACAGTTAGGCAGGTAGTGTATACAGGGCGGAGACACTGGACAAAGGGGTGATTCACGTCCTGGGAGGTACTGAATGAGACATCGTGAGACAGCGTGAGATTTTATCATGCTACTTAGAATGGCATGCAATTTAAAACGTATGGATTGTTTATTTCTGCAATTTTGAATTTAATATTTTTGGACTACAGTTGACAGTGGGTAACTGAAACCACAGAAAGCAAAACTGTAGATAAGGGGGGACTACTGTATATTTGATTCACACTACGGTATATTTGATTCATACTCGGGTCAAAGAGTTTGTTTTTACAACCACCTGAGTCTTAAAGGAAAAGGCATCAAGTGCATGTTCCTGGCTTCTCTTTTGTCACAGACACCAGCTAAGTTCTGACAGACAGATACAGGAAGTGTGGGTCTGACCTGTCCTCAGTTTGTGATAATCTCAATTGTGTTTGAAAGATGCCACATTCTCATGGAAGGATTCAAAGAGACTAAGCCTGCTTCTCCAGGCCTCCAACTCTAAGAAGGTATCAGCATACTGGGATACAGTCCTCCTAGCATTAACCTCTGACTCAGGACCACCATCTGAGGTGGGAAGCGTAAAGTGGGGCATACCCAGGAACCTGGTGTACTAACTCTGAACAAAGAGGTTTTATTACCTCTTGCCTTTCCTGACTTGGCAAATTCAAGTACAATAGTACCTGAGGAAAAAAGCTTACACCTATCTCTTGGGCCACTATATAGTACCACACTGATCCCAATATTTCAACAGATATACTTTGACATGCAATCTATTTAATTCAGGTCAATAAAGGCATTGTATCATATTATTCTATAATCAAAGCTTCTCTCACATGGTAAAAATAATCAGTTAAATCTAAGGCCTACATACTTTCAGTATTGTGGGCAAATTACAGAAAGAAAATACTCCTTAAGCTCTATTCATTAAAGCAACTTTTCTAAAGTTGTATTTTCCTGGGGAATTTTGCCTTACTTATTCTGGGTTTTAAGTGGGCAGCAATGCTAAATGATGGGCTTGGATCTCCTATGTGCTGGCATGTAAGACATTACGTTTTAGAGGACAACTCTTAAAACAAAAAATACAATTTTGTCATTAGGTTTTAAAAATCACTATTCCCCAGGTAAGTAGTCCTTCTATGGTTAATTTTTCTTTAGAGTTAAAGCATTATTTTAAGCTTCTTTGGATCTCTAGATATTTGACTTTTAAAGCTTCTAAAAGCTTGAAATGATTAAATTTACAACAACAGATGTTAGTTTACTAAGACAGACTGCTTTTACTCTGAATGAAGATGATATTATGGATCTGTAAATGTAATTTTAACTTGTCTGTTTTATAAAGAAGTTGCCATTTCCCCTGTGCTAATATTAACTAAAGCAAGGGTGACCCTATTTCTTTGGCAAAGAAGGAAATGAATATTTTTATTGCTAATTATGTGTCTGGTTAAATCAGTTCAAGAATGGCATATAATAGGTTATGCTGAGGTTGCATAATACCATCACAGTATGGAAAAGGGCTAAAGCCTACCTTCTTTAAAGGGGTCTCTGGAGGATGACAGAGTCATTTTTAAATGTCACTCACCATCTTATTAACAAATATAGAAACCATGTTTAATAGGTGGCTAATTAAAAAGAGACCAAAATGACTGCAGTAAAATGCAAGAAATCTGCTCAAAAACACAATACTAAGATTAATAACTAAGTGGAAGCTCCTTTGATGAAAAAGCATTACTAATTATGACCAGCATAACCTCACACTCATGACAGTCCCCTCTTCTCGTTCATTTACGTGTGCAGTTGGTTTTTACAAGTATGAAATACCTTCACTGGAACTCAGCCTGGAGCTGTTCAGCTTGGCAATTTCCTCCTCTCCTTTCAGGTCCTCTTCCTTCTCCTCACTCATCTCAATGTCGTGTTGCTTTATTTGGTCTTTTTCCTTGTGTTTCTTAGACTTCTTTTTAGACTTTTTGTGAGACATTGAATGACTTTCTTCCATAGGCTTTGGACACTTTAGTAGAACTGAATCAGAGGGTAAGGTTTCCAGAGAAGTCCTAGAGGTATATTTGTCTTGCTGGTCCTCACAGATACTACTGTTTTGACTAAAACTGTCAACAGGCAGGTCTTGAGTCCCCCGGCCCTCTGGAGTGCTCGGGGAATTGGAGTTAGAATCTACAGTCTGAGGAGGGTTGGAGACGGGCAGGTGGGTTGAAGGCAGTGGTGGAGCGGCGGGGATGGCAGCAGCTGCAGGGGGTGGCAGGAGGCCTGCAGCTGATTTTTCACTGGTAGAATTCAAATGACCATTTAATGTTGGCGGCACTCTATTTGTCAGGTGAGATATTCGAGCTTTTTTATTCATTAAAGGATCAATGAAATCTGAATCTAAAAGCCGTTTCTGGTGGGGGAGGGGGACAGGAAAAAATATGAGCCAGTTTGCACTAAAATTCAATTATATGCATCACTGGTTACCATAATAACAACTGAGTAATTTTATTCATACTTAAGTTTATCACTGGTGTTATGTTAAACCTTTCTCCAAGCTTAAGCAAAAACAAACAAGCCAGAAAAACAAAAGTAACATAAATTTTCATGTCTAATGTAAATAGCAGAATCTAGCAAATACAGGGGTGAGCAAAAGCAGGTTTTCTGTGCAATGTGACATTCTTTTGAGTTAATAAAGCTATTGTAATAATCATAACCTGCATGTCGTTTTCCATACAAACAACTATAAACCTACTTCTGCCCACCCTTGTATATGGTTCTTGGAGTACTTATCTCTCTGATCATACAGCCTCACCCTAAATTCCTTGAGAGACTATGCCAATTTCTGTGAATTATACCACTTAGGAGAATATTAAATAGAGGTGGCCTCCTTCCTCTGCTGACCTAATTATAACAAGTGAGAGAAGGACGTAGTTCGGACCATTTCCCTGTCAAAGCTATAGGGACAGGTAAAGGACGATGAGCCCACACTTGCTTAATCTCTAGTGTGCTAAGGTATGAATATTCTGGCTGTCATTTATTACTTCACCTGTCTGAAGATGGGAACAGCCAGCACCTTCAGAGTAATTTCTCTAAGTATCTCTATCATTGTTGAAATACTCTTCATATTTCCCCCTTCACTGGATTGGAAAATAAGTCCTAATAATTGGTCCATAAAAATGATATGGAATTACTGTTTCAAAATTTAAAAAATCATGCTAATAATAGCTCAATCCAGCAACAACAATAACAGCATTTAAACTAAAAAGAAAATTCAGACAGTTGAAAAGTATAAAACATATATCCAATGAAATACTGTGGCTTAAACTTCAGCTTGAGAGAAAACGAGTTAATCATCCCATTAATTTAATGTTTTCAACTTAGCACAGTTGATCTGGCACCTAGTACATAATCAGAACTATAAGCAGCTTCATGTTAAGTGGCATTAAAATTGAGGCTTCTCTAGATAGTGTACATGCAATGTCAGAATTGCTTTTATTTTGTTCTTCCTCTGTTCCTCACAATAGGTTGCTAATATTTTCTGACATGTGAATAGCCTTTGCCCAGGGCATGCTTACTGCTCACCATACATCTGTGCTGTCTCCCTAATCCTTGGGAGGGGAGTTCAGAGAGAACAGCACTCTAGCAGCAGTACTGGGATAATAAGTCTGTTTCACTGTCAGTCCCAAAGACCCAGGAAACAGAGAGTTAAAGGCTGGCCGGGTGCTCTGAGAACCAAGCAGGCTTGAACTCTAATACTATCCAGGATCTCCCCATCTTTTTCTAGGATAAGCTGAATTGCTTGGGGGAAACTAAACTGGATTAAAGTTTAATTGCAGTATTCTGGTTGGGATCTAATTGAAAACACTTTAAGAAAATATGTATAAAAATGGCAGAAGTTTTTGTTTGCTTATTTAAAAAATATTTTTATCTTCTGGAATGTTTCAAATAAAGTTAAATATCTTCAATTTTCTATATAATCTGAGACTATATTTGGGATTGGGTAGGTCTTCTAGTTAGTGACCAAATGGAAAAGTAGATCATCTCACAACAAAATGTAACCTTTAAAAATGGAAAAGGTAGACATTAAGTCCTTTGACAAGCACTATAGTACAGTGGAGAAGAGTTCTGGGCTGAGAGCTGGTACCTGAATTCTAGACCGAGTTCGGCCATGGATTAGCTACATGAGTTTGGGCAGACAAGCTGTGCATCTTCTGTAGCCTAACTTTTCTCGCATATAAACAGAGGAACTGAACTAGATGGCCCCTAGGTTCATTTCAGAACTATCAGTACATAAGTTTATGAAATACCTGAGGAGAAGATGCAGTATCTCTACTAGAACATACGGGAGATTCTGAACGGCTGGTGCTGGCAACATTCTGAGATGGATTTAGTTTTCTGTAAAGGACACACATGTTCCAGTTATGGAGAGAATTTTTAAATCTTCATGATAGAAAGCTTACCATTGCTTCTCTTTTCCCAGCTCAACACGAAAATAACAATGACTAAAATAATCTTATATGCATTATTTTTAAAGAAAAAGTTTTTTTCAAAAGAACTTACCTTGAGAGCACTGACTCTAATGACCGTCTGTCAATTTCATTGTATCCAGGCCAATCTCTCTGAAGCTCTTTAAAAACATAATCCTTTAAGGTATATGAGAGGTCCTTAGGGTTCAGATTGGCTACCTGATACAAGGTGTGAAAACAGAATATTAAATCATTTTGCTCTTTCCTAACCCAAAATAGGCAACCTTTTGGATTTGTACTGAAAATAACTGTATCAACTGGCCACAGAGAGACAGCTAGATTTGCATATACCAAATCTCAATAAATGTTGTTCAGCTTCTTTGGGGGAATTAAAACTTTATGTAAATATCTAATTTTTTTCTCTCTGAATGGCCACTGCACTTGTCATATTTCTAATCAATCAGTAAGCCCATATTAGGCAAAAAGTAGAGAAAGATTTTTTTTAATCAATTTTTTCTAGTCAAAAGAATCCAAAAACAGTTATATTATCAACATCATTATTATCTACTTTTGACTCACAGTAAAAATCCCTGTTCACTTGTATTAAGAACCAAATACTGCCCAAATGTTAGGTTATGAACTTTTCCTTCAGTAAACAACAGAAATTATCTCCATAAATAGTATCAATTCTGACAAATCTGTCTGTCATTTTCTTTGATAAGAACCACTTATTCAAAGTCCCTGAAATTTCCAAAAACCAGTAAATAGAAACAAACCAAAATAACCCTCAAATTGCCGTTACTAGTCTGCCGGTTTATTCCCAAGTGTAATCTTTTCTTATCCCCTAACTACAATTCCTAGAGTATCCAGGCCTAGAGATCTATTAACAACACAAATGTACAAACCAAGAGTCATTTTTAAGGCTGGCAGAAAGGTATTCCTCCTGTCAGTTCCTACTGGAAAGTCCTGTTTTAATAATTTGACTTCTTTCTGTGTAAGTACTATCAAATATATTAGGATAGTTATGCTTTTCTCACAGCTCAGCAGAATACTAATGTTAATGCTGTTATAAAGTAGAAAATGGTAGGCTTATCTTAAAATTCAAATTTGCAGGTAATTGATATTAGATACAATCAGATTTCTCAAAGTGAAATAAATATAACAATCCTTAGATTTTTCCTATTATCCAGGGCACTACACATGCTAAAAGCACCCCAGAATTAGAGATGATGGTTTTACTCATAACATTTAGTATCATATCTTGAATGTGAGAGAATAGATAAAAATAGATTTAAAAGCATTATTCTTTGAATAATAGATACAAAACTGCAGGTTGTTGTGTTTTTTTTAATAATGAAATTTAAGAACAACTTTGGAAATGTTATTGCTTTAGGAAAAAGAAAACAGATAGACTACCATTTATGGTGGGTTTGAATTCTAATCAACATTTATGACCCAAAGTCAGTATGAAAAATATAGGCAGTTACAAACTATTGACTTTAACTAAATTAATGACCTAATTTTATACTTAAGTTTGTGATTAGAAGGTAACTGATCAGAACTAATACTTTATAGATTCATATCCTTTAATGAAGACAAGTGACTGATCTCAACATACCCAACAGTAGAAAAACACAGAGTAATACAGGCAACAAACAGTATACAGGGCAACACACATTTTAAACTATGTAGTAGGTAAAAATATTCTAGTTTATACCAACTAACGACTGAGATAATACATTGCACAACTTCACCTATATAAACTAATAAAAATCATGACAATCATTAAGGTGATTCAAGACTGAACACAGGCAATGAAATCTTCTTGCTTACTTTATTAAAATAAAATTTCAGGGCAAAATTTATTTAACCAAAATAAAGATGATTCAAAACTTTAATTTTTTTATTAACAATTCAGAAGCCTCTAACTTATAAAACCTAGTATAAATGCCCACATTTCAATTAGTTTTTAATTAAATGTTTAAACAAGATGCTTTAACTCAATATTCAGGAGTTCTATTTCATATAGCATTGATCAAAAATGATCCTGAGACCTAGCCAGTTTATCTCAGTGGTTAGAGTGTCGGCCTGCAGACTGAGGGGTCTCAGGTTTGATTCTGGTCAAGGGCACGTACCTCGGTTACAGGCTAAATCCCTAGGCCCATCAGGACACGTGCAGAAGGCAACCAATTGATGTGTCTCTCTCACATTGACGTTTCTCCCCACCAGCTCTCGCTCTCTCGCTCTCTCTCTCTCCCCCACCCCTTCCACTCTCTCTGAAAAGCAATGGAAAAAATATCCTCGGGTGAGGATTAAAAAAAAAATGATCCTGACATCTCTCTACTTCAATAATAATAATAATAATAATAATAATAATAATAATAATAATAGTTACAAGAAGAATAAGCCTTCTTAAATGAACTTCTCAACAAGAAGGTAGGTGGAAGGAATTCTCTCCTGCTGTCCTTACCTGTTGCAGAATTGCTCCGAGGGAGTTCTTGTCTTTTTGATTGACACCATCTTTCTGCAGTCGGGCCAGCAGCTCAGGTTTCTTGTAGGCCTTCAGTGCCAGTAAGTGAATCACCCTGTCCCTATATGGCCGCTGAGAAACACTGCTGCTGCCGTATGTCTTTCGAATTGTATTTGCAGGGTTCATGGGGGTTGACCTTTTCCTTTCAGGCACTGCATCTGAAAGAGCTTGAGGTGCTTTCCGAATTTGCACTCTTTTCCCTACAGTCCAGTGGAAATGACATTTGTTACACATTTGTGGGTAATAATAAGCATCTCAGTTTCCACAACCCTGAGTTAGGTACCTATTGATTTCTGGAGGGAATAAAGACTATTGCTTTACTTCAGCATTTACTTTAAAGAGATATGCAAACAGAAAGCATTCTGAATAAATGACCTAAAATATGAATTAGGAATTTTTTCATGAAATCATTTATTGAAATAAATATTTATTATAAAAGTATTTTGGCCACTTAGCTACACATAGATAATAATTAGTGACACACATCGTAGCAACAAACTAGAAATTTTAAGGATGTAGGTAAAGAATGTAGGTATTTGATGTTAAATGGAAATTTACCTTAAGCATTTCATATATTATTTCTAGAATAACACCTAGAAATAGAAATTAGAATGAAACTGTATAAGACCCTCATTTTATAATTTCTGAGGTGTAATCTTATAACTCATTTAGTATAACTATACTCTAAGCCCCTAACTCTGTGTACTCTGGTTAAAGAGAGGAAACAACTGGTAGTGACATACAATGAGGGGCAACTGCATTAGGTACAAGTCTAGCAACTAAAAACAAGGGATAAGTAGAAGCAGTCACTTAAGTGCTGTGGTCTAGGGTGAAAATGGCTGGCTTAACGGGGCAGGAGATTTACTGAATGATTCTGTCCATGCCAGGCTCCCTAGGCCTGGCCAGAGGGTCTGCTTGACACCATTCTACCTAAGGTAAATGGGAAAGGATAAATGATGTCACTGGCTCTTACATGGTTTTTTACTATCTGAACCTAACTAATTGTAAATATCAGATCAAAATACTGCACAACTAAGGAACTCAACATTAAAGGGACATTGCCCAATGATAAGAAAAGCTATTAAATTAAGGTACAATTAGAGTTTGGGAGATAGATTTAGATCTGGCTTCTGAGTTTTTCTTAATTTAGAGACCGCTAGATCAATGTCAGATGGGCAGGGAACTAACTGGTTATCATGTACTAATTATGTGTTGGGGAAGGCACTGCTTTCAATGGGATAAGCTCAAATGCTAAAGTGCTGTCTTAGTATTTGGAGAGTTTTCTGATAAATACCCAAGTTTTCATACTTGTACTTCTTTGTGGAAAAGGTTTCATGGACAACTGCCTAACGTCGACTGTTGATTCACATTAGGCTGCACGCTCCATGAAGGCAGGGCTGTGACTGCTTTGTCCCTCAGCAGACCTTGACGCAGAATTTGATGACTAGCAAAGTGTCAAAGTGACTGATAGCAAGAAAGCAACTGGATAGCAGAGGAGCCAGAATCAAAACAGTGTGTATTCCTATACTGCCAGACTGCCAGAATTGGAAGACATTGAAATTTCTAAAATGGCAAATACAAACCTCCCAACCCACCATTTCTCAGTTGCAACAGTGTTCACAAACAGTACTATTCCTTGATTTTTTAATAGGCATTTGTGAAAAGAAGAAAACAAAAAATAGGGGTCACAAAAGTTTAGGAAATGCTATAAATTTCACACTCCCTTCCCCTTGAAACCTGTTTAACTTACTCTTCCCCAAACAAGGTTACTGTGGGGTACCCTCACTCCAACTCTCTAGGGAGGGAGATGGGCAGAGAATGTTGTTAAGCTCAACACACCATGAGTGGTGATTTAGAATGAATTCAAGCTAGCAAGGAAGGCAAATAAAAATAAATACACAAAGTGACAGTACTACCACTATGTTCTGGGCTGCCCTACCTTTTCTGTATGTCTGACCCACCTCTGATCCTCAGTCTCAGGAGAGCCCCAAGGTCTCCTGAGTTTACCCCCAACCTTCCCTGAAGTAGACACAGGGCAGACAAATAAGGGAGGCTCACTTTGCCCTTAAGAGGGGTATAAGTATGATGTTTGAATAGAAATTAGAATCTGGTCAGCAATATGACAGTGTTAGAGTCACCCAGGGTCTAATGTTAGACTGGCATCCACCAGTCCATGAATCTCCTACCTGCAATACACTCACTTCACCTTTACCTCATTTTTCTTTTAAATAGCCAGTCATGAGGTAACCCATTTCTTTCAAATGCTGGAAGAACTGTTCAGCCACACTGGGTCAATGAGTTTTATGCAAAAAGTACTTGCTCACTAACTCCCCATCAATTTGTGCCTATTCAACTAGGAAGGAGTCCTCTGGTTAAGGTTAGAGAGCCTACAGATGAAGAAAACATCAGTGCTATAAGTAGTTAAAGAATTGAGATGCTAAAGAGAAAAAAAGAAAAAGAAAAAAGTAAAGCAGGAAAATGTCAGGTTCAAAATGGGCAGAAGAAAGGCTTTAATTTTATTTCTTACATTTGCCTTAGAAAAGCCCTTTTAATAAAGCCTATGGGAGAATATAATTCTCTTCCCAGACCCAACTGCTAATCAATTCCCTGGGCTCCTTATATAAACAGCAGCAGTGGATCTGACAGGGTTGGGTAATCTGGGACTATATCTAAACCACCGTTTCATAATGAAGTCCACTTCTAGCTTCTCCATTTAATGAGATGGTAGAAGATTCTATCCCTTCATCTAATGACTCTGAGTAAATCTCAAAGTAAATCTTAAAACAGTATAGCAGAAAGAGAGCAGGGAGTGTAGCCATCTCCTGCAGTTGTTTTTCGGTTCTGTGGAAGCTGACCAGAAGCCCTGACAACACTGACCAGAGGCTTTAAAATCACTGGCAGGACTTTGATGATGATGTGACTGTCATGGTTAACTACATAATCCATTGTAGTGGAATCCATCTCCAACATGTGGCATTTATGATCACTTTTCAAAAGGTTTGCTATCAAAATATATACACACAACAGACACAGAATGTTAGAACTACGAAGAACCTTAGATGTTATCTAGTTCATATACCCCTTATTTAGTATCTGAGAAAATTAAGGTCCACAGATGTTAAGTGTTTTGTCCAAGGCCACTCAAACATGCACTAACTCATCAGAAATTAGGAGAATGGGGGCAGAAGTTAGGAAAATTGGGAATAAAATCTGAGAATTAGATTGGTTGGGTTGTTTTCTATACCTAAATAAATACTAGCATTATAAAAATTTGTAATTCAATAAAATTCCAGAATTTTGGTAGGAGTCAGTGAGCAGACTTAAGATACTATACTAGTAAGCCTGGAGCAATGGTAATTAGTCATTTTTTTTTCTTTTTAACAAGCAGAATGATTATAACACAACAGTGCTTACAACTGATATAATGCCATGACTTGAAGTGGCAATATTACTGAAAAAATAATGTTTTCTCCTGCTCTTCTCCAGGCAAAATAGGTTTTGGTTCTTTTTAGCCCACAGGCTTTCAAAAGCTCATATTCTTGGGTGAGTAGGCCAGATAATCCCTAGGAGCACAGTCTTTATCCCTTTAAACTTGGTTTGTGCCCTAATTCAACTGTAAGAGGTCTGCCCTGGCATTATGTCACCATAACCCTACAATGGGACCACCATTATTCCCATTTGTCCTCTAGCTTGGCTGATGCTGTTGAAAGAAATCTTATTCTGCAGGTACCTCTAAGTTGGCATAGGTGAGCTTTTGGTATCATTTTATATGATATATTCAATTATGAATTGCAGAAGTATCTCCTATTGTCCTAAGAAAAAAACACAATTTGCTAGTAAGGCCAAACCCGTATCATTCGCTACTTGCTGATACCAACAATCTGGTACGTAAAAGGAGAGGTAATCATAAGCTACTTCATAGGGTGATTGTGACATGTAAAAGCTAACCAGTGCCTTATGCATCACAAGTACTCAGTAAGTGCTAGATAATATTAGTACTGAAGGGTGACTGATTGCATTTTAAATAACTGAATGAGTCAGATAGTTTTGAGATACTGAAGAAAGCAGGAAGATATGCCCTGAGCTACCTAAAAGGAAAAACACATGGTAAAGGACTGACAATGGATAAGGTTAAAAGAAAAAACCCAAAGCGTGCCATAACAAAGAACAGTGAAAAAAATCAAAAAACAAACAACTGAAAAGCCAAACTAGATACTAGTCTTTTGCTCCCCTCTGTTCAGAATTGATGAGACTTTTCTTAAGAGTAGTTTGTCCAGTTTTGAACTTTGAGGTGAAGAATTGGAGGCAGTACAGAGGAGAGCAATAAAAATAATTAAAGGGTTGGGATACAGGCCATATTAAGAAAAGTTAAAAGGAGCTGGGGTTATTTGACTTAGAGAATAAAAAGCTGAGGAGGTAATGACAAGATTTAAGGCCAGAAAAAAACACTGTGCTGTGATGGTGAGTGGCTGGGGCACTGAGGACAGCCCAGAGGAGAAGACTAAACAGAGCACTTGGGCTGGTGGAGGCCACTGCAGGGCTCCAATGTGGGAACATGTGTGTGTAAAGAGGGTAGCCAGCTCTTCTTAGAATGCGTAGATGTAATTTGGTTCAGACTAAAACTTAAATAACCTCAAATTTTATGTGGGTCACTCCCAAAAATGTATATAAATTATTTGTAGTACCTGTAAGAAACCCTGCAAATTCTAAAATTCCCATATCATTAGGGAGTGTATGGTCTGTGGGATTCTGGGTGCTGAAAAGTCTGTTGTGCAAGCTGCAAATGAACTCTACCTGACCCTATCAACAAATAAAAACACATGGACATAGAGGACACCCAAGTATCATTCAATGGCAAAGTACAGTAAGAATCAGTGATTTTCAAGCTTGGGAATAAATCTAGATAAGGGTTTCCAGCTAGTTATACTGGGAGGGAAAATCACTTCGTTGGTCTGAGTCTTCTATTCCCTTGTCAAACAAACTGAGTTGTCTCACTATTTCTAAAATGGTGGCATTGGACAGAGTAAAAAAGTATTTTTAAAGCAACAGGGATAGAAAATTCATAGTTTGTATTTAAATATAAGTGCAGCAGATCATGGATTTTAAAAATAATTTGAAATTTAGCATACTAGCATAGAAAGTTAATTAAGTTACTTATAAGGATAAAGGAGAAAGAAAGGAGGTTGGCAGCTATTACCGCACTCAGCAGGAAAGGGAAGGTGAGACATCTCATTGCTGTTAACTTACTGAGCAGGGAACTGGGCCCTGTGGGTACAGATATGAATTGTTGTTAAACCAAACTAAATGTATCTAAGCTAAGCACCAGGTCCCAAGAGCACTGGCTTTGTTCCAAAGAAATACTTATTAAAAACACTCACTAGTGAAGCTTCTCAAACCTGACTGTATTGTAGCTAGGTTAGCAATGGGAAAATACAGAAGCAGAATTCTAACCAAACTATGGAAAGATATTAAGGGAGTTGGTTGTCCAAGAGACTGTTTTTGTGAGCATTTATGTTTCCAAATTAATATCCTTTCATCATTTACTACCCAGTGACTTATATTACTAAACTGACCAAGGCCTCAAAGAGCTCATTCTCACTCTTGATAATTCCCTTTATTACTGTTAATAGTCACTATGAATGGACTCTTTAAAATTGTTAAGGTCACTGCTCATAAAGGAGAGACTCATCTTGCTTGTCTGGTCTTCCTTTCCTTCAGTCTGATGAATATTTGAGTGAGCTGATGATAAACATAATGGAAGTGGAGCAGGCTCTTAATTAATGGATGAGGATGAGGATCCATAAATGACATCACAACCGACGTTCCAAGGAGGCATAACACTAATGCTTGCTATAAGCACATCTTATACTTTTGTAATAAAAATACAGCTGTTGTGCAAAGAACCTCTGAAAATGTAAGCAAAAGCTGCAACTATAAGATTATCAACTTAAAAATCCTATGAGCAGATTTTTTGTAAAAATAACCCTACAAAAGTGCAAAACAAAAAACCATACCATCCTCCACTGAAATTACATCATTCAATAACAAAGAAAACACAATGGTACCAGTCTTAAAACCTCACATAGTAAAATAACTTGACCAGGTCCCAATATTATAAAATAATAACAAACAGCCACATAGGATTCAAATTTATAAAGAAATAAAAGCTTTAAATCTATTTTTCAATTAACCAGCAGTCCGAAGAAAAACAATGACTTTTGACCATGTTATCCAAAATAATCTGAAAACCAATTTTTGTGTTTTCATGAAATTAATATTACTCATATTTACCTACAGTGATCTTGAATTATTCCAGTCAATCAGCGAGAAGAAGAAAGATATCTATACAAACCTACATATGGTCCGCCAGGTTTGATCACTTTTGTGCTTCGGTTTCGGGATTCCTCCTCTGCCTGGGTCATTCTTTCTCGAGTCATCTGATATGAGTCGTTTGTCGCACACACTGTAATTTTATCTTGTATAAATCCCAGGCAATTGAGCTGGGAGGCTCCAGAGCTGTCAAATAAGACGATGGCTTTATTAAAAATGTCCTTCATTTTGCACAACAAAGTACAAGCAAGAATTGTACAATCTAAAATCAGCAGCCCAATAATAAATTTGAAATCCTAAAATAACTAATATTAGTAATTTTTAAATGTATAGATTATTTAAAATATTTGAGTTTCTCTTCTTCATTCCATGTCACTTTTTTTTTCCTACATTGTGAAGAGAATGGGTGAAGTGAGCTCACTCTCAGAGATCAAATCCATGAAACTGAAAAAAATCAGCCTTTAAAGTGAATACCAGAATCCGGGTGGGCACTATAGTTCTTTAACTTAAACATCAACTATTTTTAAGAATGAGCTACCACTGATATGAAAAATGCTATAAGTTTAACTTTTAGTGGAACCATAATATGCATGGTTTAGAAATGACTAAATGAAATAGACACACCACAATTCTTTTCATTTTTTATAAGGTATTAATTTTAAAGCTAAAATACTGCCAAACATTAAAACTTACTTTATTATTATTAGCCTAAAGATCCTAAACATTTGTAGAATTTATATTTACCACTCTGTTAAATCTCTACATAAGATGACCTATTTATATGGCAAATACTGAAGAAAACACTGGACAAGAGATTTTGGCAGAAATATTTTTTAAAAACTTTTATTTAAACAATCATGCATATTAACATTGGCCCAGAGGAAGGCTCTGTTACAAGGTATTATGCTAATAGGGGATTATAGTAACAGCTATACTGATATTTTAAAAAGAAATTACTATGGCTGTATAACAGATTGGAATATAAAAGTAATGAAAATGCCATTGCAGCTCTGATACTCGATTTCCAAACTTAATTGGAAATAGCTTTGTTATGATGCTAAGAAATAAGGACTGATAAAAATTTATGTAAATTGCTAATAACTGTGCAAATACTATTTTTAAAAAATCAGTTCATTCACCTCATAAATATTTATGGGGCAGGGACTGCATGTCAGCAGTGTGTGAGGTACACAGGTTGTGACAAAGACCAAGACAGATGTCCCTCCTTCAAGGAGCTCTCTCTGTCTAGTGGGTGACAAGGATGAGCAAACTGAAAATTATGACATAATGTGATAAATGCCAGAGGCAGGAAATCCCCAGGAAAGTACTTCACCTGGACTTGTGGGAGAGCAAAGGCTTCCTAGAAGAAGTGATGCTTGAGTGATCTAAAGGGATGACTAGACAAGGGGGAAGAAGGACAGAAATGTTATAGGAGGATAATCGACCTGTGCAGACCCAAGGGGAGCAAGGAAGAGTTTTTCGGTTAAGCCAAAAGACAATTAGAGATGAGGGTGAAGAGGGCATGAGAAGTACAACATACAGGGCTTTGGAGGTCATGGTATGGGTTTTGGACTTTATCCCAAGAATAGCAGAAGGTGAAAATAGGGAAGAGAAAACATCTCATTTGTATTGTAGAAATATTAATCTGGATAGAACAGATTGGGAGGAAGAAAGCAGGAGAGCAGTTAGGAGGCTACTGAAGAATTTAGAGGGAAGAAATGATGACCTGAACAAATGTAGGGCAGTGTGAATGCAGAGCAGTAAACAGATTCCAGAGATGGTGAGGAGGCAGAATTGATAGGATTTGGTCAGTTACTAGCCATAGAGGGAGAGGGTGGGGAATAGAAGTTAAAGATCATGCCCAGGTTACCAGGTATGTGGAGCTGCCATTTACTGAGATACTGGGGTAGGGTTGGAAGCAAGAAAATGAGTTCATTGTTGGACATGGTGACTTTGAAGAAATGAGAAGACATCTCAGGAGGGAACCAACTGTGAAGAATATAAATATTTAAAATAAGTAATAAGAAGATGAAAAGGAGACCACAGGAGCCTGAAAAGGCATAGCCAAAGAGGGAAAGGAAATCAGAAAAGCATTATGTCATGGAAGCCACTGGAATAGAATGATTCAAGAATCAGAGTGGTCAACAGTGTGAAATGCTGGCAAGTTTAGAATAATAAGAAACTAATAAGCATTCACTGGATTCAGGGCAAGGAGGGCAAGGCCCCCATGGGGGAGCAGTTTCAGTGGAATGGTGGGGAAGGAAGTCAGACTTTGGCTCCAGAAGTGACTGCAAAGGAGGTTGTCTGTCTATTTTTGTTTTTAATGAGGCTCACCTGAGCATGTATGAATAACCAATAAAAGGAAGGCAAGGGGAAAAAAAGGGAGAGGTTTAACCCTCAGGGGAATCGGGGGGGGGG